CGCCCCACCAAGGAGCAGGGGACACTCAAGCCAGGCAAAACTGCAGTTCCCAGCTCTGGGATGTCCCTGGGATGCTCCCAGCCCCAGCAGCCCTGTGAGCATCCTGCTTCCCTGCCTGCCAAGCGGTACGCTGCCATTGTCTCTCCTCCGTGGGACAGACCAGCTTACCCACTGGATCTCCTCGCGGAAGGCAAAGCCGTTGTAATCACATAAAGCAGCGTAGGTCAGCGAAAACCCTCCTGCAAAGAGAAGGCAGTCTTGGTGGCAGACCTTCCCACAGGAACATGGAGAAGACCTCTGTTGGGGGGGGCAGAAAGCAGGAGAAGGATGGTGGAGGCTCTCCCTTCCCTCCTCAAAGGGGCCAGAGTGTCCTGCGTGGTCTACTGCCAGCCCAAAAAGCGATCACACAACTCCAGGGGCTGCAGCTGGCTTTGCTTGATCCAGGTAGATACCAGGCAAGGTGCGTCGTTATGACGATAATAGAGGTATCCTACTCCAAACCACTCCAAACCAGGCTACAGGAAAAGCCCCTGGCTCTGCAGCGATGCCATACGAGGTGGGTGGAAGCATCCACAGCTGGACACCGAGCATCCTTGCCCCGCAGCTGTCCTGCTCCTTTCTGGGGAGCTACGTCCCCTCAAACCTGCTCCGACCCCGGGGGCTGGTGGGGAGCAGACCCCACTAGCAGGGCTCCCTCTGGCCTAAGCCACCACGGGTGCCCCGCCAGCAGAGGTGGGGGCTGTCGGCAGAGCTAGCGTTGATGGACGCTGGGCTGCGACGGTCCCCAGGGTGCTCCGACCCTCCTGGCCCATCCTGGGGGAGATGTGGAGGGGAGGAGGGCTTACCGCAGGGCCCGGGGCTGCTCTGCAGCATTTCCTCCAGCGAGTCCGTGATCCGCCGGATCCTCTCGTAGAGGTTGGGGGGGGAATTCTTGAGCAGTGTCCTGGGGAAGGACCAGAGGGGTGGCGTGGCGGTGGGCTGGGAGAAGAGCATCCCTACCACTTTATGCTTAGCTACAGCCCCTGCGTGTGAGGGTGGCCAGAAATATCCTTCCCAAAGCGATCGGGGAGCAGGGTCTGGCCTCCATCAATGTGGTTTTCTCCTGTTAAAAGGCGCTAATTGTGAACCCATCCCATACCTGGGGCTTTTCTGAGCAAAGAGTTTGCTCTGGTACCTACACAGCTACCCCTGAGGAGCAGAAGACCCTTACCCAGGGGATGAGTCTGGAAAGACCTTCTTAAGTGACATGGTGACATGGATGACAACTTGCTCCAAATCATCAAAGGACATGAACCGGAAGGCGTAAGATGCTGCATCCGTTTCTATGACAACCTGCGGGGTCCAAAGGGTGGGAGATGCCTGAGCGAGCTGGCAGCACACAGTGTCCCCAAGCCCCCAGACACAACGGTGACAGCCACCAGCTCCTCGCTGCAAACGCCCAGCCGCTGCTTATAAACCCAGCCAGACCACCGTGACCACAGGGAAGGCCGCGAGCACCAGGAATTTCGGATAAAATACATTAAAGAGATCATAATGTGCCAGAAGAAGGCATAAACCTCCCCAGAATTCAAGCTAAGCTAATGCAGAAGCAGCCCAAAGCAGCGGGGGTGAGAGTAGCCTTGACTTCTGCCTGCAGCAGCCACAGCTGGGAGGACAGAGGTTTCCTCCCTGAATTTATCTAATCGGGTTTTGAAGCTTTTTTAGCTTTTGGTTCCTACCAGAAAAAAAAAATCCCATGGCAACACGCTCCCTGATTTAATTACCCAAAAGTCCCTTATCCACAGCAGGAGGAACTTGGAGACACCATTAAGGACAGGAAAGCACCTCTGGCTTGGGCTGTGCCAAGGACAGCTCTTTGGACACCCCTTTTCTGTGTATGAGGCACATGTGCCTTCCCCCCCCCCCCCCCCCCCCCCCCCCTCCAACCCTGGGGTTTCAACCACCAGCACCCCTCGCTCTCTGCCCAGCTCCCCTTTATTTCTCTCCCAGAGCTCAGCCCCGCAGCCTGCCGAGCAGCAGAAACCCCGTTTAGAGGCTGGGGCCATCGTCGTTGACGATGCTTTAATGAGCAAGAGACAGACAAGAGGTTAACGAGGACCGCAGCCCTGTTTCGGCCCACACATCCGAGCCTGGGCATCCTTTTCCTCTCCTCCACGGATCCCACCCGCCACATCTGACCTACGTGCACGCCTATCTCTAAGAGGATTAAC